CTGACTGACACCCACACTGACAGCTGCACTCAAAACTTCACCGAAGCTTGCCCCAGCACTCCCCACCACTGTACCAATGTGCACTTCAGTAATCTGAAATGGAAATGACATGTCCTTCGGCATTCAGCCTGTTCAGTAAATGGCACAGCTTTGCTAATTGCAATTTAAGGGAATCTAGATCCTTAACAGTTTTAACAGTTTTTTGTTGTTTATTTGTAAAGCTAGTCTCTAGTAGGAAAAAAACAATATTCTTTTCATTCCCTTCACTAAATCCCCAGCCAATATATTTGTTTAAAAAAATCTATAGGACCAAATACCTTACCTAAAACTACAGTCATGCGACAGGTTAAGTCCTTTGTTGCAAGAGTTCATCAACAGGTCGTCGCACGGCTCTAAAGCCCTCAAGTATAACATTACAATGAGAAGTGAAAACAAGAGGGCACAGATTTATGTATTTTGAGGCTTTTTAAAAAGTAAATTAAAACAGAGTGGGTGGGGTTGAAACTGGGTGCGTTTCTTTTTTTTTATACAACTGGGGTTGTTCTTGTCTAAATGATCTGTATCTAACTAATATCAGGTTTTGGGTAAAATTAGAAATAGATAAAAATGAAATACACATTTTCCTTCACTTTGTTATCTTCCTGTAAAATAACCTAATAGAAAGGAGGCAAACCCCAAAGAAACCTCTTTTTAGACCCACTGCCTCACAACAATATTCAGCAATTATCTGCACCACTAGGAGAATGGAGAGGGACCAGCATTGCTCCACCTTTTGGTCTATAACCATCTGCAGAGGGCAAAAGCTCGGTCTTTGCTTTGTTTCCTAAGAAGTGGTACACCCAAATTTGATTAAGAGATTCTGCTAAACATTGAAGACAGAAGATTCATGACTGAAGTATGACATTAGGCTTTGTTACACACGTGGCCTATAGATTTATCCAATCCCCTATTGACTGTTACCATTAAAAGGTGCCTGCATGGAGCAGTTTTATGTGCCCCCCCCATCCCCATCAAGCTCCCTGCCCTTTGTGTTGTCTCCAAACTGGTGGGAAAACCATACAAATTAATGTTAAGATAACAGCCCCGCACTAGAACTTGGACGTCTGCTAAGTAGCGAAGAAACAAAGATTTCACTGCATCTGTGATTGTTCACAAAGCAATAAAGCAAAGCGATACGAAGAAATTGCTTTTATTTTATATATAGCTTTAGAGCATCTCTTTGCTGCAGTGCAGAGGAGGTCAAAAGGGTGAGGGCTGACCAGGGCAGATTCCCAAGTTGCAGATAACAAGTAACTGGTCCCAGCTGTGTGTAATTCATCTTGTTAAACATCATTTGTTTACTATATACATAAGAATAAGGGAGTTTTGGCACGTCTGTATGGTTTGATAGCGCCATGAGAGAATGCGGTCCCTTTAAGGACTTAAGCCCTCAAGATGAACTCTTCAACATACCTCTATTTTTTTTCTTGGTTTAAGCCCGAGGACCTGAGAGAAATCAAAGACTGACAGCACACAGCTGTACCGAGGTCTATTTTTCCATGACCAAGAAAATTACAAAGGCAACAACATTTTCTTCCTGTGCAACTGGCAGCCAGTCCGACAGCGGCAGACCGGACAGTGCACAACTGCCCTGCCTACCCCCATTAGTCACAGACACTTAAGCATAACACATTCACCCAAAGGAAGCCCTTATCCCTCTCATTAGGCCCGCTGATTATATGACTCATTCGCCGGTTCAACAAAAATTCAAAGCACAAATCCGGGTGTTTACCAGTATTAGAATAATTTTTATATAAACAACACGTCCTGTACAGAATGTTACAGCCGTTTTCGCAACAGACCAAATCGTACAGTGGGAGATGGGAGTCTAATTAGAGATAAATAAAAACAATCAATTGAAAATCACTTTAAGAGACGCTCCGTGCGTTCATCCTTGGGCTTGGGATATTAGCAGCAATTAGAATTCGATTTACATGGCAGCTTGATGTTTAGAAATGGTGGGGTGCGTACAATGCTGGGCCAGAGCTTCATACAGAAGGATTCCTCAGGCTGGCTTCTTACAGGCACAGTAGCCAAATGGCCAAGAGTCACATTGTCCCGGAGCAATTCAGCCATACTTCAATTGCGCACGTCCCTTATGAGCGGACGTATTAATCCCTGCGCATCGGTTCTGCAATATTTCATTATTGCACAGGGTCTAATTGCTAGGCCTTGGGTGCAGGTGCTTGAAGGGTGTCTCAAAACATATTGGCTATCCAAATCTTTAATATACATTTTTTTATTTTGTTGGTATACTGGTGCTACCGTGAATCTTTTCCCACAATGAGGACAAGGTTGGGCACCAATAAATCTGTCGGAGGCACTTTATTCACAGTACGTTTGGTTCTTGCAGGGGACCAGCCAGCAACTGCAGCAGGGCACGGAAAGGGTTACCAGTACTGGGGCTGCTGTGTTTACTCATCGTCTGAGAATTCCAGATCCTGCACAATATCTTTTTCCCCCTTGGCTAGTTCCTTGAGATCAGCCTGCGAGAGGCGCTGCACCCCCTTATTATTTTTCTTCTCGTTCTTATTCTTGTGGGCTCCGGCTTCTCCCCCCTCCTCCGCGTCTTCATCCTGCGATTCCCCTGTGGGCGGAAGAGCAAATATAAATTCTGCTTTATCAGGAAGGAACAAGCCGGCCGAGGGTGGCTCATCACTAATTAATCTCGGCGCTCATTAATTTATCGCTGCTTGCTGCAGCATCCAGATAGAGGGGGCATTTGCCCAAACCGAGCTCTGCAGCCAGATGCGTCTACACGAGAGCCACCTTCTCATAACGCTGCGGAGGCTGCCCCTCAGTAACAGATTTAGTATATGGTCTGGGCTGGGAAGAATATATGAATAGCTAATGCTGGCTTTCCTACAACAGAGCTCAATAAAAAAAATAAAAAAAACGGCAGCTGCCAAATTCACATAAAAAGTCTGATATTGAATAGAATGCATGCTATGTAGCTTCATGTATGTGACCTTTCACCCTAACACATAGCTTGAGGTTTTGGAAAGGTTGTATGCACACTTCTCCATCGGCATGCAAGAATCATCCCCTATATTCATTCTGTATGGTCTCATTTAAAAAAAAGTTCTTCGTTTTCATAACGAAGGGTAATATTGTGGCGAACAGGCACCATATGATTAATCTTTCTGTTTCTACATAACCTCATGCGTGATGATTATATATGTTTTATAGAAGTTTTCTTTTTTTAAGCACTATAGCTTTACAGCATCGTCAACACGGAAGATAGAATTCATAGTGAAAAGGACTTAAGCATTTCCACTTTTATATAACGTGCGCGCCCCGACGAAGCGGGATCTCGCTGTAGTCCCCAGGAGGGAGCTGTCTGGAAGCGAGTACGAGCGGGCGGATGGATGAGTATAGGTCTATGTAAATGTGCACATGGAGGAGCCGTAGTGCATCGTGCCTGCCAGATCGAACTCTCCCTGTATCTGGTGATTAATGACACAAGGCCTGCAATAAAGCGTTCTGTCCCACACTGCCTCCACAGCTCATTACGGGCCAGCTGTACGGGATTAACCCTTCAATGTCTCATGCTTCCTCCGCTTTACACTTTAGTGGGATAAAAGCATCACGACAGCTGCCGCTATATAAAAATTGTGGAATTATAGCTTCCCTCGCTTGTGAGTCTCATGGTTTTCCACTGCAAGCTTATTTTATTGTTTGCAACTGGTGATCCTGCCATTATGAGCCCTCTCCGAAACATCCTGTCTTGGGAGACCAAAGGAGCAGCGTTGTCACCTTGCGACGCATGCTCTCCCTGCCGAATGAGCTCACATGTAGCATGCTGGAACATTCAGCTGGACTTCTACCTCTGGCCTCTTCACAGTCCACCCAAATCCCCCCTCCCCGAGGCAACTGATGTGTAGTCAATGACAAGCTGCCATCACCTAAGACAAACCAGAAAACAGCTTGAAGAGCCCGAGCACCATGCATGGCACAATCATGCAAACAGCTAAATGGGAGCTTTTAAAAATCCTTTTTTTTAAAAGTGCTATTTTATTGAATTAATGTTTATATGGGATTTGAAGTATACTTTTAACAATCACAAAACATCTCATAGCAGTGTTGCATCAAAATCTGATGTCCCATAAGGGACAAGCCGCACTTAGCAGGAAGATGATAGACGAAGAGGAATCACTGCATTAGAACTTCACTGTCTTTGTCTGTCTATACGCTAAATGATGAATAAAAAAAGTAAACCACGAGTCTACCTCCTTCATCAGGGAACCAACCAAATACATATATCTCAAAGTCTACACCATCTAGATATAATAATGTGAAGGCATGATTGCTGCAAAAGGATGTACCCCACTGCAATGGTACACTGTAACTTACCTTCCGAGTCACTGTCTTCATCATCTTCAACTTCATACCCCCCTTCTTCATCACTGCTCAGCTCAGAATTCTCATCAGAAGAGTCTTCCTCATTCTTGGATTTTGACTTTCCTGAACACAAAAGGGGCAAGTAAATTAAAAAGTACACAGCCACTGTATATGTAACATTGCACACAGGTTTTACAGGTGGTACCAGGCTGTGCTAATCGTTTAAAGCAGATTACTTAATACAGCTCAATGACACATACAGGCATTACATGCAAGTCTGCAAATACAACACTTATGTATTCCTTATGCCAGCTGTTCCCTGGGCACTATCCATGTACACCCAGGGGTTAAGTCAGTTCAAATTTCCTAGTTAATAAAATGGCAAGACATTGTATACCAAGTTAAAGGTACATAACAAAAATAATATATTACGCTGAGTCTTCCCATCATGGACTAGCCGTACCCAATCCATTTTTATGGTACTATGGTAATTTGAGAACCCACTTGTTAGCTTGTGCTCAAGGACATACACAACCAGACACACCCAACTGCAAGCTTCTTGCAGTCTTTCATATCCATGAAACCAAATGTATCAAAGTGTCAGAGCTAAGAATATTTTATGAAAGAATATGATACCTCAAAAAGAGAGATCACACAGCAGGAAACAGACACCCATCACACTGGTGAGGAGCTCTGTGAAATCTGGCTGCAGTGGATAAGCATTGATGTTACATACAAGTCATCCACATTTTGTTGGTGATCTGGTAACACAACTGCTTATAAACTTGTAATATAGGAGAGAGAACAGCCACTGCAGGCTCAGTTGTTGCACACATACAGAAAAACCAACGTATTAAAAGTATTAGAGTGTCAGATATACACCGGTCTTGGAAGACGACACATCAAGCAAAAGGGGGAAAAAAAGGAAAGACATCAGCTTCAGGACACAGAGCTATCCCTTTCACATGAGTTGCTCTATGAAACCTGGCAGCAATGGAGGATGGAAAATGTTAAAGGAGAACTATGAGGTGAGTGCTTTTCACTCACCTCATAGTTCTAGCCAACCTGTGACAATGAGACTGTCACAGGTCGGCAGAGTAGATCGAGAAGTGAGCGAACACATACCGGCGTTCGCTTACCTCTCGATCCTGTCACAGCTCTCTGCCTTGGCAGGGGCTGGATTCCCCCCTCCCCGCTCCGCCAGCGCTGACTGGCGGATCGGACTGGGGAGGGGGCGGGTACAGCTGGCTCTGCCTCTAGATAGGCTCTCAGCTGTCACTCACGCAGCTGGGCGGATCCAGAGATAATTGTCGGGATCCGCTTCAGCTGCGGCGTCTTAGTATACCGCGAGCAGTAGCTTGCGGTGTACTGTGGCGTCTCAGTATACCGCGAGCTGTAGCTCGCGGTATACTGAGCTTAGGGTGACGGGAGGACACTAGTTTGTGTCCTCCCGTTACACTAAGGAGAACTATGGGGAAAAGCCTTAACCCCATAGTTCTCCTTTAAATTAAGGTAAACTGTGTGGACTTTAGCACAGCCGCATTGTTTCCTAAACTGCATTAACCGTTTGCTTTTCCCGGTGTTTGAGACTACACTTTAAAAAGAAAAGATTTCTTAGCACCCCCTTAAAATGAGCATTTCCTAACTGATAATCAGTTATACTGTACTAAATGACAATCTGACCCCTTCATATTATAATTATTCTTAATTGCTTTTAAACATACCTTCTACCCACATGTATCTATGCAAAGATCGAAGAAAACCTAGAAAGAAGATGGCTCTGAAAAGCCTAACCAAGGGCCAATGATGAACATCAGATGAATAGACAGCTGAAGAGCCGTTAAGAGGAAGCCACCCAGAAAAACCGCATTGGGCCACCTTACAGTGGAGGGCGTCATCAGTATTTGTGGACTAGAGAGAATCTACAGAACTGGCTGCACTAGAAAACCTAAATCAGACACAATGGCAGATGTTGCAGGTTTACTTATACCACAAAGCTATAGAGGAGCAACTCCCTTATCTAGTAAATCTACATATCCCTTCTCCTTTGAGAAATGAAGCCCATTTCGGACAGGGCGCCTATTCTTATCCTTTCAGCACCTGCATATCCTCAACTGGTATAGTACCGATAAGGGACCGGTGCTATGCATATCATAACACAGCTTAGGAAACGAGAATACAAAAGCAAGTTAGGAGTATTGAATAAAGCAGTGCTAGAGAAAATGGCAAAGCATGACCTGTAGTAACCCACAGCAACCAATCATATGTCATGTTTCCAAGGTTCAGGCCATTAAAAATGAATTATGAATGGTGCCACTTCGTACATGACTCTCTAAGCCTGTAAAAGAGGAGGGCTACATTATAATGCATTAGTGAACCTCTGTTTAGGGCAGCAGGGCTTAAAGAGGCCCAACAATTCACAACATTTCAAACTGTAGCTGTATGCTTCCTGATGTTTTTGTTTTGTAGCCAGACTAGCTTTGGATAGGGGAAGGTGGGGATGGATCCAAGGGGCACAGAGATGGTGGGAAAAGAGTCAAACTGTTGCTGGTCTATCATAATGCCAACTAAATTTTTTTTCTCCAGCCTGGTGGTCAAAATTCAGTCCATAGCGTCAAGCTTATCTAAACAAAAATTTAATTTATTGCAGCTTATCAGTCCTTACAGTTGGCTGCATTTTTTTTTTAAGGCTTTTTTTCCTTTTTACGTTTACCTGGTGATCCGAGCAATACTACATTTCCTGTCCTAGTATGACAACGCTCACTCACCCTATTGTATCAGGACAAAAAAAAAAATAACAGGACAGAACTACAGGAAGCTTACCCTGTCCTAGCAGTTGAGAGCCCACCAATCCAAACCCAATGGAAAAGGACATTTAATACACGGGGTTTCTGACCCCCTCTTAACCCTTCTTAAGCTAGCCGAGGATGATGTGGACCTGTGGGCACCCACATGCGGGAGAGTGTGTAATGCTTGCAGTGACCTGACAGGAACACGAATCCAACGAAGTGCAATTGTCACGTCTGGATGACAGGAGGCGAGAATGTGGCTGAATGAGAGCGCAGCAACATGAAATACTCAGGAGACCAGGCAAGAAGCAGGAAATGAAAAGCACACGCAGAAAGGGATCAGATGGAGGAGTGACAGGAAAAAAAGAAAGAAAAAAGGAGACACGCACAATTCACAGTTTAAAATAAAAAAAAGGACAGGAAGGCTGAGGAAAGAATAGAGTTTAGAAGACACGAGGAAATAATACCACAGAGCACTTCTGGAGGTGACTGCGGGCAGAGTAACAAGCTAGGTCTCTAACGTCCATTAGAGGGCCGTCAGTAAGCGCTCGCTTGGTGCTCATTAGAGAGGTTCTCACGGATACTCCAGCTCCCCACTCCTCTCTGCTAATTACCTGACGAGGAGCACATCCGGCCCTGCTGGAAGAGCCATTAATAAGCCCTGGCTGCACGGCGTGCTCCGGCACAGATCTGTCACCGGCAACCTTCCAGCTAAATGTCCTCACTACTAGAGGGGGAAGATGTGTTGCGTTAGTGAGTCACGTATGGCTCCAGGCTCCGTACGTGAACCAAGTGATGAAAAATGATATCCAACCTATCTGTCCAGATCACATCTGTATTATGCAAGTCACAAAGCTGAAATCTATGGGATGTAGTAAAAATATTAGATTTTTACTATTTTTTAATACTAAACTAGTGTAAAGTCAGCAGTGCGGTGCAATTTTTCTTAAGATAACTAAAGTCAAACCTTTTTTTTTGGCTTTAGTTCTCTTTTTGGGTCACAGGAATATATTTACTAATGTACTCCTGTGACCCAAACTCGGCATATAGCGGGCAACTGCTCTCGATATGCTGAAAGCGCAGAGCCTCACTGCACCCAGGATAGACGCCAACAATATTGGCAGGATCCACCCTGCTGCCTGATTGACAGCTGGCTCTGCCTCTCTAGATCCAGAGGCCACCCCCCTCCCGTCTGACTATTGAATGAGTGCTGGAGGAACAGAGAGAAGGAGGAACCCCTGCAGGAAGCGGTGATTGACAATCATTGCACTCTACAGGTAGCAGACCGTGAGGCTGAACGATCAGCGGTTACACGATCGATGGGAACAGTACATTTTACTCTCCCAATACTTCTTTTATTTGTGGCACTAATCATGTGGCCTACTGTACATGGCTACAAAAACTTTTATTGTTAATTTTTAATACAAAAAGTTTTGTTTACCAAGCTGTTGAAGTAGTTATAGAAGGTAAAGCATTTATTGCATTGACAAAATAAATATCCCTTCTGGTTTTAGCAGAACTGCAGGCAAACTGCTAAATGCACAAAAGAAATACATATATGGAAGCCGTTTTACCTGCCGATGGATGTGCATTTATCCAGTTCCTACATTTACACAGCTCTGCCACACCACATAGAACTGTCTGGTAGAGGAGACCACCAACCGTTCTCTGCTGCAACTCAGTAACACTTACAGGTCCATTCTTTACCCCCAGGTCTGTGACTAGACAGTGAAGGAGAAGCAGCAACCCGATGAGCTCATCTGTTACTTTGCTCCCTCCTCATTTTTATTTTAGTTTTGGATAGAGTAGGGAAGCATTAGGACCCCTCAGGTTTTTTTTTTTTTTCGTTTTTTTTAATTACAGAGTCCGCCCACTGGGGAGACTTACCTTCTCGGTTTGTCCCAGTGACCGCTGGTACTAGGATTGAAAGTGAGGGCAAATCTAATACTTTGAGCTTCCACTGGAATAGGAATAAAGTGGGAATCATCAAATGGCATCACCTGTTCCAGCGACAACTGTCTAATAAGAAACAATTTCCCTCACGTACTATTGTCTCTTGAGATAGGAAGTGAGATGTCAAGTTCTCCCTAAAGGAATACAGACAGAGAAAAAAACCCAAACAACAAAACGAGTCAGACATTAACCATTTCCTACACTATCCAAAATCAAAACAACTTTGGCCTTAGATAGACCTTAAAGTGAAACACTGCTAAAAACAATGTAACCCCCAAAGAGAACCCAGGTACATCCCCGATAGCTGCCAAAACTTGCAATAAACACAACCCAACACTCGCCACACTGAGCTCTACTGTGGCCTGAGCTTCTGTGCAATCCTCACCTTTCAGGCATTAAAAAGCTGCCTATAATAAACCAACATATCTTCTTTGCAGCTTGCTCCGGCCTAGCCTTACTCAGACACATGCTTTAAATTACATCTCATCCCCCAGAGGAGCCATAAGCTACAAAGGGAAGGTCCACCTGCGGTCACAGAGGCCTGCGTGAGACCCACGGACTGAATTAGTACCAGATTTTTGGCAAGCAGGCGGAGGTTGCCGTGCGTGGGGGGCTGATATTTAGTCGTCAGAGGTCCCAGTTCTCAATCAATCCCACCAGATGGGAGAAGGAGACCCCCCACCCGCATCTCTGGAGAAAAACCTGCAGGCTTAACTCTTTTCTCAGGGAACGCTCGGGCTTATTCTTCAAAGTGGCGTAATTGTGCATTCTATTGGCAGAAATGCCAAACCTAACTGAGCGGCACAGGAAGGGGTGTATTAATGAACTGAACACCCCGCTGAGTGTGAACAAGTGACCTAGAAGGAGAACAGAGATGAGATAAGGGCAGAGGAAAGAACATTTTTTTAAAAACACCGATGTGGAAGCCGTGAGAGAACTCCCAGAAAAGACCGCATATAGCAAAAGCAAGAGCAGAAGCGCATGAAGACTGCGTCATATAGAAGCAAACAAAATCTCCCGAGGAAATAACTAAAAGCAAGCAACAGAATCATAGGAAAGACAAGGCACTGGATGGCGGAGGGGGGAGCCAGTCAAGATTACTTAATTCTGCCAGCGTCGTCAAGACTATGATGACGTAGACAGCTTATCAACGGATAAATGGAGATGAGCCGTCAGGGAGACTGGGCAATCATATCTATTAGCAGGCTCTGACATGGTTGCATCTTCACATATTAGTGTCACTCCAAAGACAGCTAGCGGCAGAGGTGTGCAGGCAAAGCCTAGACAGCAGCATGACTGAGTGCTTCTTTGCTCGGGGAACTATCCGAGGCTCTGACAAGCCAGGCACATAAATTGGCTCGGAAGAAACGAGAACAGAATTCTCAAGCAGTTACAGTGAAAGCAGGAAAGGGGTTAAAATGCATTTTTAAT